CAGGGCTGGTGAACAGAACTCCTCAGCTTCTCTTAATATGAGTCGCTCCTTAAATCCCACGCAGAAGACGAACTACAAAAAGCTCATCTTAAACACTTTGCCCCGCGTGTTTTATCCTCACTGTGTGTAAACACAGTCTGTGTAAACAGTATCTAAATATCAAAGTTGGAAATATAAAGGTAAAAAATCTACACTGTCTACAATAAAATGTGGGTCACGTTGAGATTAGTTGCTCATCGGTGCCAAAAACATAGTCAAGAGGATTTATGCAGTGGTTATAAAAATAATAATAATTTAAAAATGACCTGTTCTGCAGTATCGTGTACTGCATACATCATAATCCACTCTTTTTAGCTACTTAAAATCTCACTGTAGAACTATTTTGCTCTTGAAAGAGAATTTCTTAAAAATATTAACTGGAAAAATAATTTAAAAATAATGTAAAGGTCACATTGCCAAAAACTGATTGCAGCTTCTTTTTGACTCAAAATGATTTGATACCATTTGTGAGAGATCTGTTTGACAGATGATAAGCCAACAAGTCACAACAGCTTTAATCCTACAGGCTGGGACGGCACTTCCTCTTTTTTTCTTTGATAAAGGATGCTTCAATGTATGCTCTGCTATAGGAGGTAATAAGGAAGTAATAAACTAAAGAATTGAGAGAATCCATCCAGTTCTTGACCTTGAAATATAATATTATAATTTAAACATCAAAATGTGAAATTACTCGAGTGCGAGGCAGTTTGTTGATATGTTGTTTTCCTTGTCATTGTATTTATATATGCTGATTAAGATACACTTCTGGGGCCTATACTACAAAACACCCTGAGTTTACCCAGGATGTCTTTTCCTTATCTGGCCTGCAGTCAGACTAAGAGGTCATACAAAAGCGGTTATCAGCTTGATAAGTAAGCACAGGGTTTCTTAATCTCGCTGAGTAGGTAAAAGAGGTAGAGTTGCTGCTTTTGACCAATCAGAAACCTGAAGAGGTCTAGTGGGTTTTTTTTATAAAGTAAGGTAGAATTATAATATTAGATGTTGTGACAAAGTGGCTAGGACAGAATTCATTTGCCATTTGTCACTTGCATATATTGTTATTTTGTGTTCTGTTATCCTATAGTCTATCATAATGCTTTAATGTAAACACAGCACATGTAACCTTGGCTCTACATACTATCCCGGGTCTGTTTGTGGTAGCATTGGTTATATTCATTTCATCTGTGCAAATGTACTTAAAGCTAAATGTCACTTTATCATTAATTGATTTGGATCTTTCATTTGTTTGTGTAGTTTGGTTACACTTACCATTGTCTGTTCCTTTGAGCAGGTCCTATGTGTAAAACAGGTGTGTGGGAAGGGCCGCCCCAGTACTTCCTGATTTTATAGGATATGATGTCACTGATTATGTCAATTGGGTGTAACCAAATGAAGGGGTGTTTCTTTTGTGTAAAATTGTTTATTTCATTTAAAATAACCTCATGAGTCAGATTAAGTGAAGATTGACTTTTCAAACTGTTTAGTTGGGTGGATGAGTTTGTTAACTGGAAAAACAAACTCATTCACCCAACTAACCCTGTTTCTTTGTCTAGACTGTGTTATTTAGTCTACCCTGTTTTTCCCAATGGTAGAGGTTAATGAGATCCAGGTGTGAGTGGAATTCTATATAAAGCAGGTGAGATTTTGACTGACAGGTTCTTATGTTTTTGTGATACAAATTGTTGAAAGGCGACACCAGAAAATAAAGAACACTTAAAAGAAACTTGAACAGTCTGCAGATGCTGTCTTACTATCACTTTCCATGCTGCTTATTTTACGCTACTTCACAGATGTATTAGGTGCATGTGTTTTGTCATTTGTGTTTTAATTATTAGTAAAGTGTGAAAAGAAAATCACTTTCCAGTAATAAAAGAAGTTATATGAAGTGAATTTGTCATTAGGACAAAATAAAGATTTTTTTTTAAAGGCAAGAAAAAATACAGCGTGTGTAATTTAACAAACGTGTCAATAAACGTGTTTTAGGAGCATGAAAAAAAAGCTGGAATAAAGAAGCTCTTACGAGTCAGTGTGTTTGTAGATGCTCATCAGAGGAAGACGAAGACTTCAGATGCTCTTCAAAAAATCTTTAGAGCTTCTTACTATTTTTTGCTATTATTATTATTTGCTATTGTCTATATGCCATTTTTGGAAGTAATAATAACAATGATCATGATCATAATAAACTTTATTGATGTAGTACATTTCAAGAGCTGAGTTTTACAGCAATAAAACATTTAAGAAAAGTTAAATGTGAAACAGCAGTAGGTAGGAAAATACTGGCTGTGCAGTGAGATTAAAACTGAGGAATAAAATTAGAAATCCCAAACAGATAAAGCAAATATAAACTAGCCTCGCTTCGTAGCAAGGCTTAGATTCAGAATCAGCAAATCACCATGATGGGCTGCCATGTGGGATATAAGCACAACAGCCCCTGCTGACCCTGAAGTGCTGCAACTAAAATAAACTAAATCTCTTCACTGATTAAAACAACATCTAACATCAACTTTAAAATTCATGTTTCTTCTAGAAGATAGTAGCAATCTCTCCTTTATACAGATCTATAAAAGGATGTTGTTTGTCTTTGTCCCCTTGTTTTTATAAAAAAAAAAGAAGAAAAAGATACTTTTAACTGGAAACATAAAACACAAAAATCGAAAAAACATTTATTTCAGAACACCTCTGTATGCATTGCTTATCATGCCTATTAAAAACATAATATATTGGCTCTTTTAACCAAAGTTACAGTCCATAATGTGCATGCGTGTTTCATCGGTGCCTGCAGATGTTCAGCAGCTGCTGGTGATTAAAGAAGAGGTTCCATGGAGCCCGAGTCTGGACCAGCAGGAAGCAGAGCATCTCTACATAAAGGAGGAACAGTGGAAACTCTGCAGAAATCAGGAGGAAGACCTGGAGGAGACCAATATCACCAACTTCCTTGTAAAGAGTGAAGATAATGAAAAGAAATGTATGTCCTTGGAGCTTCAGCCAAGCCAAACTGAACACATCTCAGAGGCTGAAGCTCCAAACAGCAACTCAGCCAAAGGGAGGAATCCAGAAGAGGATGGAGGTATACAGCTGTCAGATGCTAAGTTACACACTGTGGAGAAACCATTTGGTTGTGACAGCTGTGATAAAGCATTTAGTTGCGATATGCATCTCATAAGGCACATGAGAGTCCACACAGGAGAGAGACCTTTTGTTTGTGACGTTTGTGGCGAAAGATTTACACAACAGGAGGTTCTGAAGAGACACACGATAGTTCACACGGGAGAGAAACCGTTTGGTTGTGACATTTGTGGCAAAACATTTAGACATCAGAATACTCTTAAGAGACACACGAGTGTCCACATGGGAGAGAAACCATTCGAGTGTTCTTTTTGTGGTCAAAATTTTAGCCAAAAGACTCATCTCAAACAACACTTTAGAGTTCACACAGGAGAGAAACCATTTGGCTGTAACGACTGCGGTAAAATGTTTTGTCGCCATGCGCATCTCAAGAGGCACACGAGCGTCCACACCGGAGAGAAACCATTTAGCTGTGGAGTTTGTAGCAAAAGATTCACCAGACAGGGAAATCTGAAAAGACATATGAGGGTCCATACGTGATAGAATTGTGTTTGTTTATTTGTTTTTTAACAATAACATAGTATTTTATACCTTTTTATTATTATTTTTTAATCTGTTGCTTCATTTCTTCTATATTTGTTACAAATTCAGAAATACAATGAGAGCTGGATTAGGTGTCAATGAATAGAACCACCTTAGAGAGTAAAAGGTGAAACTTCATCATCAAGGGTCAGACTTTTCTCGCCAGGATCAGCATTTAGGACCAGGTTTTTTTTAAATACTGTGCTTTTAAAAAAAAACTAAGGTGGAGTTATTTGGCAACTGGAGTAATAAACATGTTGACACACGCCAAAGACAGCTTTTCAGGAGAACCACCTCATACCACCTGTGAAGCATGGCGGTGGACATTTTATGATTCAGGGTCATCATCACTGTACGTGTTCAGAGGATGTGATTTCATCCAAGTTAGTTAAACAGGAGTTTAATGATGGTCCTGATCACACTATTAAACCCCACAGGTGATGCTTTAAAAATGCAGAAATTGTGGCTTCAAAGCCCAGATGCAGTTTGGAGAGTTTTGTATAAGAGAGTGGTAAAATGCTTTTTTGCAGGCTGATGTAAGAGGATTGTGGATAATTATGCTAACAGCAACAAGAAAGAAATTACTTCTTTTAAAACTACTGTCTGAGAATAATTATGTCTTTATTTTTGCACATACTGCTGTTTTGTGGCTGAATAAATGACCGGAAAAGCTGGTTGTGGTGTTGCACTCTTTGTCTGTAACAACAGCATGCAGTGATTCATTGACATGTGTCAAGAGACATGAAAATGCAGTTTATAAGCAAGAACAGAGTTTGTACAATTCTAAAAAGCTTGAAAGTTGATATTTGGTGTGATGATGGGTGTCTTTGTTCTTCAGCACACTCTGAACTCTCTGAGGAAGCTTCCTGTTATTTTTAAGTAGTCTTCAGGAATTGTAAAACTAAAACTTTTGCGAGATCTCACAAAACAAACTCGGGATCTCGCAAGCCGCAGTCTTCGAAGCCGACCGGGAGGTCAAGGCACGATGTGCCGGGAAAGCGGTGTTCCTCCCGGCTGTAGTAGGTCTCGACCTCCCGTTAGCTTCAAGATGGTGGGTGTCAGATCTCCAAAAACGTCGGAGCACTTTTGCAAATATGTGATGTCTTGTAAACCGAGCAGATATCTGACGTTTACACAACTACATTCACGCCTCAAAATATCTTAAAAGTGTATTTTGTGACTCAAAAAGAGTAATATTACAACTAAGTAGCTGCCGCCATTGTTGGAATTCAACTTTT